TTCGCAGACCCACAAACCAACACAACCTTTTCTACTCCTTGCATGATCCTGCTCCTAACCCTATTTACAAATAACCTTGGATTCGCTGACAGGTACCTTCTATGGCAGGTACCATTCTCTGACCCACATTCGCCTTAGCTTTTGGGTTAAGACATGGCCCAGTTCTACACTCCTCTCTAGCGCAAAACGTCGCATGTCCCTTCCTCCCCGCTCACCCCACCGGAGTCCCAACAGAAGAGCCTGAATTTCTCTTCTCAATATCTGTCCTACGATCGCCTTCTCTGCTGGGTTAAGCCCTGGCTCTATTTCTACGACTAAGAACACTCCTCTCCAGCACTATTCTTCGTCTGTCCCGTCTTCCCCGCTCATCCCATTTGAGATCTTACCTGAACTTTCGTTCGTTCGTTCGCTCTTCAACTCCATATTGTTTCAGACTATGGAACAATACTCTTCTCCAGACTGAGGGACTGACCACCTCAAAACTTCAAGGGTGATGGACTGATTACATCGTCTTCAAGTATCTTCTGCTTCTATCAACTTTTCTGTACTCGACTGAAGAAGCCTACTGTGTAGGCGAAACGTTTCGAAATAAAGATACCTAACTGTTGCATATGTGTCTTACCTAACAACCTGTCGGTATTTTATACCATTTTAATGTTCAATACCGACAAGATGAAAGTTAAGACACTTGTGCAACATCTGGTTATCTTTATTGTAGACGTTACAATAAAGATAACCAGATGTTGCGCAAAGTGTCTTAACTTTCATCTTGTCGGTAATGTATACCTGTCTTGCACATCCCAAGAAGTTGCAGTGTCTGAGGTAATCAGTCCCTCAACCTTGAATCGATGTGTTCAGTCCATCACTCTTGTAGGAAATGTAGCAGGGATGTCTAATTGGGCATGGAGAGACTCGCTTGTGGCGAAGTCCTCCCATCTGACATCAAGCACCCAGCGCAGCGCCTTGTTCTGGACACGCTGCAGTTTTAGTAAGTTTGTTTTTGCTGCAAGAGAGAGGGCTAGAGGAGAGTAAGTTATCAGAGGACGTATTAGGGATTTGTAGAGGTGTAGTTTGGTGCGTTGAGAGGCATGTTTCAGCTTGTAGAAGCCCGCAAGGGCCTTACTAGCTATTGCATGCCTTGAGTGAATGTGTCCTTGTAAACGAAGAAGGTAGTCAAGATTAACGCCAAGGACAGTGACAGATTGTGTGATGGGGATGTAAGTGCGGATGTCAGCTGTTCTGAGCTCGACAGGTAATGGAGGATCACGTTTCCTGTAGTTAAAATACTTAATGCTGGATTTAGCTGCATTGGTTTTGATCCTCCATTTTTGTTCCCAGATGGCTATCCTGTCGACCTCATTTTGTGTTTTGTGTGTGAGTGTATCTATATTGGCATGACTATATTGGCCCTATGCTGCGATCCATCCATCGCAGCATAGGGCCAGAGAAGTGGCTTATATACTGCAGACAGGTGAGGTGAAGCAGGAGGAGGCGGGATCACAGTGGGACCTGCCACTAGTGTAAGTAGGTCGTCATCCAAAGGTTGGGCAAGCGTTGAAGTCTTTGTACCAAGATCCCATGATGTTGCAGTGTCTGACAGATGTGATGAATGGTTTTGAAAACCGACAAGTTGCAGAATTGAGACACTTATGCAACACATAGGAATCTTTATTGAAGAAACGTTTCGCCACACAGTGGCTTCATCAGTCCAATACAAAGTTTAAATCGGTAAGGAGAGGAGAAGTTTGAGGTAATCAGTCCCTCAATGTTTTGCCACTGTGTGGCGAAACGTTTCAAAAATGCTTTTTGTGATACAATGATTCAATTATATTCCTGTCGACAATGGATAAAAGGTTCAAAAGTAATTGTTGAAATTATGATATGGGAGTACGTATTGAGTATGTGAGTACTGAGTATTTAGCATTTAGTCTGGGGTGATTAAGTGGCTTTTGAGAAGAGTCTTAAATTGATTTTCAGACCGGGTTACTTTAGTATCTTCTGGTAATGAATTCCATATTTTGGGCCCTTTATGTGCATAGAGTTTTTACACAGTGTGATATGGACACGGGGTACATCAAAAAGAGATCTGTGTCTTGTGTTGTGGCCATGTGTCCTGTTTAGGTTGGTGAGGAGAAGTTTGAGTGGAGGGTTTATATTTGCGTGTATTGTTCTGTGTATGTATTAGGCACATGAATAAGTATGGATGTTCTTAATGGTGAGCAGATTTAGACTTTTGAAAATTGGTGGAGTATGCTGTCGGGAGTGGGAATTTGTTATTCTGACTACTGCCTTTTGCTGGGTTATTAGAGGTCTTAGGTGATTTAATGTTGTTGATCCCCATGCACAAATTCCATATGTGAGATAAGGGTATATGAGTGAATGGTACAGTGCCAGGAGAGCTGATTGTGGAACGTAGTACCGCATCTTTGATAGTGTGGAAAATTGCATTTATCTGAATGTATCATTATGTACATAACAGTAAATGAACAAAGATAATTATTATCAGTTAGACAAGTAGGAATCTGGGACACCTAGGTCGCAAAAATGTCCCCCTTCGATACCTACAACTATCATATCCACAAGTTGCTCTGGGCCTATTAATTATAAATAAAAGATACATCACCAGGAATGTTAGTAAATATATAAATTTGTGGACTGTATATTAAATTAAAAAATGATTATATATAAACACATTTACATAACAGAAGGAAAATATCTTAATCATAACACTCACCAATTTGACTGGAGATTAATGTGTCATGTACAGGACCCCCCCCCCCCTTTTGCCTACATTTATGAAGAATTTACTGGCCAGAAATTAAACATAATTTAGACAGCTTATCTGAGGTTCCTGGAGTTGTCCTGTCCTGTCGCCTGATTCTCAAATTATGCAGGAATGCACATCCAACAATTTCGCCTCCTATTTGAGAGGTGTCTGCCCGATTTTAACCTCTAGAGCACGAAAAATTCTTCCCATTATTCACAACGTGTTATTCAATTCAAACAAAATGGCGACTGTCTTCTTTTTAAAAATACGCTTTTATTAAATGCAATATAGGGCATCTATTTACCTATAAATTACCGTATTTCCGGAAAATATACAGTATTTTCCACAGATAGTATGCCTACAGTCTTAGAGATTTTCTTGGTGATTTGTTGTATATGTGTCCGGAACTTAAGGCTGCTGTCAAGGTGGATACCTAGGAATTTTTCGTCTGCAAGTCTTGTGACGGGTGATCCGTTAAGCGTTATGTTAAGTGGAACATTTGCAGCTTTGTAATAAAGTTGGTAGAATTACCGACAATATGTAAAATAAAAGGACACAAGTGCAACTAATGTGACATTTATTGTGGCAACACATCGACTCCAGGTTGAGGGACTGATTACCTCATTCTCCTTCATCGAGCTTTATCAAGCCATTACAAACAATACATGGACACAGAGGGTATATAAAGGCTCAGAGTGAGGTGAATACTAGTGAGGTACCATTTCGATGTTCACTAGTGGTAGTAGTAGTAGTAGTGGTAGTGACAAAAGTAATACAATGTGGTAGAGCAATTAATTCGTACATGAGTAAAAGGATATAAAAGCTATTACTTGGGTAACATAAAAATAGGTTGGACAAATATAAACTGGAATGAGGCAGCTTGTTTCAGTGTTCACTCTCTGTGCTTTGTGTAGTATAACAGGAGAGACTATGTGATGGCAGGGTTTACTGTTTTCAGGAGGATTCTTGCTAAGACTTCGGAGATGGTGAAGCTGCCGTTGTTTTGTTTAATTGTATTTGAAACAGCGATCAGTGCTGATTCAAGGCACTTGCGTGTGCGGAAATTAGTTTCTTTTATCACTAATTGGGCGTCTCTGAATTTCATAAGATGATTGGTGGAATTTCGGTGTTGTACACAGGCGTTGTTTAAGTTGTCGTTCCTACATGCGTATATGTGTATATGCCTCAATGAACACATATACGCATGTAGGAACGACAACTTAAACAACGCCTGTGTACAACACCGAAATTCCACCAATCATCTTATGAAATTCAGAGACGCCCAATTAGTGATAAAAGAAACTAATTTCCGCACACGCAAGTGCCTTGAATCAGCACTGATCGCTGTTTCAAATACAATTAAACAAAACAACGGCAGCTTCACCATCTCCGAAGTCTTAGCAAGAATCCTCCTGAAAACAGTAAACCCTGCCATCACATAGTCTCTCCTGTTATACTACACAAAGCACAGAGAGTGAACACTGAAACAAGCTGCCTCATTCCAGTTTATATTTGTCCAACCTATTTTTATGTTACCCAAGTAATAGCTTTTATATCCTTTTACTCATGTACGAATTAATTGCTCTACCACATTGTATTACTTTTGTCACTACCACTACTACTACTACTACCACTAGTGAACATCGAAATGGTACCTCACTAGTATTCACCTCACTCTGAGCCTTTATATACCCTCTGTGTCCATGTATTGTTTGTAATGGCTTGATAAAGCTCCTGGAGAGCGAAACGTTGCCACAATAAATGTCACATTAGTTGCACTTGTGTCCTTTTATTTTACATTTGCAGCTTTGTTTCCAGACTGAATGAAATAGGTTTTATCGGTATTCATGGTAAACTAATTAGTTTATTAGTCTATATAGTAGTATGTCATTGATGTTAGCTAGGCCTGTATACCATGTACATGTACTTGTAGTAAATAAAAGGTTATTATTATTATTGTTGTTGTTGTTGTTGTTATTATTATAATTGTTTGTGAGCAAGTGTGAAGGGCTTCTGCGCCAGCCATCGTCGGTGTGGACGTCTATCGCCTGTATATCAGTGACAAATTTCCACCGTTCTCTCTGGGACGCTTGTCCTCATCTATTTTGCCCGCCGGACACTACAGGAGGGGCACCTGCTCATCGGCTTGCTTTAGCCACCTCCATTTTTTCCGCTCTGCTGAAAATTCTTTAACGGTCTTTGGTGGGAAGCCGGTTACTGAACTCAGGTGGGAGTGTGGGCGTCCCTCTCTGCTGGGGCTTGGCAAGGGCATCCACCGGATCTAATTGGAAACTTCACGTCTCTATCTCTATTTACAAAGGAACTTTTGTTCCTTTTCTTTCATCGCTCAACCTTGGGCAACAAATCTTCCCCGAACATCGGGAAGTCGGGCTCGATACTGCTGATGCTGTCAGTGGCCCTGATAAACCCAACAAAGAAAAGAAAGAAGCGAGTGTGAAGATGCCTTCTTGGAATCAGATTCAACAACAACTGAGACATACAAATAATCCAGTTGTGTTCTTTGATATAACTGTAGGGCAGACTGTAAGTAATATCAGTGTGACATGAACAACAATGGGAGTAGCAAGTCTCAGGACTTAATTATTATTAACGGTATACAATACTGGTATGTTTTTTGAGTAAGGCAACACTTGGATATCTTTATTGCCAGACTCTCTCCCCTGCACATCTGGTTTCTTCAGTCGAATATAGGAAGCAGTACAGTTCTAGAAGCAGATAATTTATGCAACTATTTATGTGTACCTGTACCTAAATAAGCTTACTAAGTTGTTTTGACCTGATCAAACCATCACCCTCAGTGGGAAGTGATCAATGCTTTAAGTCTACAGCATCAGCATACGACCTCTGGTATATTAGGTCTTGCCACATGACTGTTGTAGACTTGAGGGACTGATCACTTCTCATTGAGGGTGATGGACTGACTACGTCAAAGCAACTAATGCTTCCAGAATTGTACTGCTTGGCTTGCACACTGAATGACCCTGACCCCCTACTGGTTTAGTGCTTCCCACTAGTGTAATAATTATAACTGAACGACACTTTCAGGTTTAGCACTCTTTGTGAGTAATAATCTGGCCTGTAAAAATGTAATTTCCAAGGGATGGCATACAAGAATAAAAGAATAAGGTATGATGTAAGAGGAATTTTGTCCTGGCAGAGAATCCTTTATTAATATGTACAATGTTATTGAGGAAACATTTATTAACCCAGCAGCAGAATAATGAACATTTTGTTAAAGGCTGTATAATGGCATTTGAGAAGCAATCAGTTTAAAGGTTAGGTTACATAAAAACTTGTATATAAGAAAGTTTGTTTGCCCAGCAACTTGGAACTGTGCTCCAATTCCTTGAATTAAGTCTGAAAGCCTTCTGTGCCCCCAGGTGCTGTATGACTCCTATGGGATTAGCACTCCACATGAATGTAATACATAATTATTTACCCAGCAGCTGGAAATGAGCAGTTTGTTAAGTTTCTTACTTGGCAGTGAATTGTGTAAGGGGTGGTTGCACAACAGATATATGTTTGGCTATGTTAATTGTGCTAAATATCAGTTTGTTTACAATAAATGCATTTTAGCTCCATTACCTTTTAGTACTACTGACCTTGATTTATCTACCTTTTTTTATTACAAATGAACCTTTGCCATATATTGATGATTATGAATTTCAAGAAAGCAGGCCTTCACTTTATTCATGTCAATGCTAGGTCAGTTTTACCCAAAATGTGAATCCTTGTTAGACAACACGGTGATAGACAGTGAAGTTAAAATAGAAGGTTACAATATAAATCACTTGGACAGAAATAGACAAGGTTGTGGGGTATGTGCTTATGTAAGAAATGACAGCCTACAACCCAGGACCCGATTAGTATGACAATAAACTGGAGATTTTATGGTTTAAGGTGTTGCTGCCTAAGACCTTACCCACCCTATAATAATAATAATAATAATAATAATAATAATAATAATAATAAATAATGATAATAATCTTTTACTTCTACAAGTACAGTGGACCCTCGACCAACGGCATTAATCCGTTCCAGAGAGCTAGCCATTAATCAAATTAATTTTCCCCATAAGAAATATCGGAAATAGAATTAATCCGTTCCAGACGCCTAAAAGTATTAAACAGAATCATTTTTTTTTTACATGAAATATACATTTCCCTACACAAAGACGAATGGGACATGCAAAATAAACAATAATTAAATACCACTTACCTTGATTGTGGAGTTGTTGATGAGTGATGTGCCAGCAGCAGGGGAGATTGAGGTCTTTTATTGTTTGGAAGGGGAATCCCCCTTCCATAAAGACTTGAGGTACTAAGTCCTTTGGTGGGGTTACCTCCCTTCTTGGTTTTTTAATACCTCTAGGACCAGCTTGAGAGTCACTGGACCCCTGTCGCACCAGAAATCTGTCCATGGAGCTCTGTTTCTCACGTGCCCTTAGGCTTTCCCTAAAATGGGACACAAGAGTGTCATTGTACATGTTGCCAATATGGCTTGCAACAACTGTGACAGGATAAAATTCATCCATAAATCCTTACACCTTTGTAAACATTGTACACATTTCCCTAATCCTTGATGAAGTCATCTTTCTCCATCTCTCTTCTTCCTGCTCTGAAGAACATTCCTGAGATGTGATCTGTTGCTGTTGCACCTGAAGCTCTTGCAGGTCTGCAGTGGTTAGTTCTTCCTCGTCGTTCTGCACCAACTCTTCCACATCCTCATCACAAAGCTCCAACCCCATGGATTTTCCCAATGGCACAATAGCTTCCACTACTGGCATAGGCTCCTGAGGGTTAGCCCCAAACCCTTCAAAATCCCTCTCTTGAACACATTGTGGCCACAGTTTCCTCCAAGCAGAGTTCAAAGTCCTGGTAGTCACTCCCTCCCAAGCCTTACCTATAAAGTTTATGCAACTGAGGATATTAAAGTGATCATTCCAAAACTCTCTTAGGGTCAATTCAGTGTCTGAGGTCACTTTAAAGCACTTTTGAAACACTGCTGTGGTGTAGAGTTTTTTGAAGTTTGAAATGACCTGCTGGTCCATGGGCTGGAGGAGAGGAGTTGTATTAGGGGGCAAAAACTTAACTTTTATGAAACTAAACTCCCTGCAATTTGCTCTTGCAAGTCGTGAGGATGAGCAGGAGCATTGTCCAGTACCAGGAGGCACTTGAGTGACAATTTCTTTTATTGGAGGTATTTTGTAACAGTGGGGCCAAACTCACCATAAAACCAGTCCATGAAAAGTTCCCTAGTGACCCATGCCTTACTGCTAAAGTATGAGAAACTTTTAGAGAGGGTGTGGTAGGTAAGTTTGGGGTGCCAGGTGTAAATGATAATGGGAGCCCTTTGATTGAACTTTGTATAGAAAGGGGTTTAGTTATAGGTAATACATATTTTAAGAAAAAGAGGATAAATAAGTATACAAGATATGATGTAGGGCTAAATGACAGTAGTTTGTTGGATTATGTATTGGTAGATAAAAGACTGTTGAGTAGACTTTAGGATGTACATGTTATAGAGGGGCCACAGATATATCAGATCACTTTTTAGTTGTAGCTACACTGAGAGTAAAAGGTAGATGGGATACAAGGAGAATAGAAGCATCAGGAAAGAGAGAGGTGAAGGTTTATAAACTAAAAGAGGAGGCAGTTAGGGTAAGATATAAACAGCTATTGGAGGAAGATTGAGACACTTATGCAGCATATGGGAATCTTTATTCAGAAAACGTTTCGCCACACAGTGGCTTCATCAGTCCAATACAAAGAGGAAGGCGTAAGTAGAGGAGGAGTATGAGGTAATCAGTCCTTCAGCCTGGAGTCGATGTGTTCAGTCCATCAATCTTGTAGAATGTACAGCATAGGGCCGTAGACGTGGCTTATATACTGTAGTGAGGTGAGGTGAAGCAGGCGGAGGCGGGGTCATAGTGGTACCATCCACTAGTCGAAGTAGGTCTTCGTCCAAAGGTTGAACAAGTGTTGAAGAATTCTTTGTAGCAAGATCCCATGCTGCTGCAGTGTCTGACAGTTGTGATGAATGGTTTGAAAAACCGACAGGTTGAAGATTGAGACACTTATGCAGCATATGGGAATCTTTATTCAGAAAACGTGTCTCAATCTTCAACTTGTCGGTTTTTCAAACCATTCATCACAACTGTCAGACACTGCAGCAGCATAGGATCTTGTTACAAAGAATTCTTCAACACTTGTTCAACCTTTGGACGAAGACCTACTTCGACTAGTGGATGGTACCACTATGACCCCACCTCCGCCTGCTTCACCTCACCTCACTACAGTATATAAGCCACGTCTACGGCCCTATGCTGTACATTCTACAAGATTGATGGACTGAACACATCGACTCCAGGCTGAGGGAATGATTAGTTCATACTTCTCCTCTCCTTACGCCTTCCTCTTTGTATTGGACTGATGAAGCCACTGTGTGGCGAAACGTTTTCTGAATAAAGATTCCCATATGCTGCATAAGTGTCTCAATCTTCAACTTGTTGGTTTTTCAAACCATTCATCACAGCTATTGGAGGATAGATGGGCTAATGAGAGCATAGGCAATGGGGTTGAAGAGGTATGGGGTAGGTTTAAAAATGTAGTGTTAGAGTGTTCAGCAGAAGTTTGTGGTTACAAGAAAGTGGGTGTGGGAGGGAAGAGGAGCGATTGGTGGAATGATGATGTAAAGAGAGTAGTAAGGGAGAAAAAGTTAGCATATGAGAAGTTTTTACAAAGTAGAAGTGATGCAAGGAGGGAAGAGTATATGGAGAAAAAGAGAGAGGTTAAGAGAGTGGTGAAGCAATGTAAAAAGAGAGCAAATGAGAGAGTGGGTGAGATGTTATCAACAAATTTTGTTGAAAATAAGAAAAAGTTTTGGAGTGAGATTAACAAGTTAAGGAAGCCTAGAGAACAAATGGATTTGTCAGTTAAAAATAGGAGAGGAGAGTTATTAAATGGAAAGTTAGAGGTACAGTATTGGGAAGATGGAAGGAATATTTTGAGGAATTGTTAAATGTTGATGAAGATAAGGAAGCTGTGATTTCGTGTATAGGGCAAGGAGGAATAACATCTTGTAGGAGTGAGGAAGAGCCAGTTGTGAGTGTGGGGGAAGTTCGTGAGGCAGTAGGTAAAATAAAAGGGGGTAAAGCAGCCGGGATTGATGGGATAAAGATAGAAATGTTAAAAGCAGGTGGGGATATAGTTTTGGAGTGGTTGGTGCAATTATTTAATAAATGTATGGAAGAGGGTAAGGTACCTAGGGATTGGCAGAGAGCATGCATAGTTCCTTTGTATAAAGGCAAAGGGGACAAAAGAGAGTGCAAAAATTATAGGGGGATAAGTCTGTTTAGTATACCTGATAAAGTGTATGGTAGAGTTATTATTGAAAGAATTAAGAGTAAGACAGAGAATAGGATAGCAGATGAACAAGGAGGCTTTAGGAAAGGAAGGGGGTGTGTGGACCAGGTGTTTACAGTGAAACATATAATTGAACAGTATTTAGATAAGGTTAAAGAA